AAGACCCCCTTTAGAACGGTGTTTCCCTATAAGCTATGAACAAAACGTGTAATAATTAAGCCTTGATCGTGGTAATTATCAGTCAATGTTCACTGAAGTTGCAGCTATTGACATATACATCACAAAAAGGACAACACATAGAAGAAGAATGACAATACCTTAGAACAGGCCGGAAATGTCCCCTGCATGTGGTCCAATGTTCAGGAACTATTCTCCGCTGAACTGAGAGTTTCCCAATTTTGTGCACCGAGAGCAATAGGACGGACGGATACCATCTGAAACGTGTTGTTTCGGCAAATACATGTGTCCCTATGCATTCGTGTTCAAGCCCGCGCAGGCATAAATAGTGGAAATGGTGGTATGAGGGAAACTACACCTTTTCTCATCAAGCTTTAGCCAAAATCCACTATTATTTAGCCTCGACCCTATAGCCAAAACCCGAAATCCTTTAGCCAAAACCCACGTTCCTTTAGTCTTAACTTGCAGTCCTTTAACCGAAACCCGCAATGGTTTAGCCCGAAGATCCGTAGTCTTTCAGCCTCTACGCACTAACATTAGTCACACCGAAGTAGGCGAGTCAGATAAAAAAAAATATCAGAAAATTCGGAAGTCCACGAATGTTCAAATGTTGATGTTGCAAAGCTTGGTTAAGAGATAAGAAGAAGATGGTGGTGGGGGGGGGGCATGGAGGGGGTCGCACGCTGCAACACATGTTGATTGGAGAAGGTTTCAACCGATGTGCTCGTATCGTCAAACTATTTGACACACCCCATGTAGCTTCAGTNAGTGTTTCTGTATAACATGCGATAGTCTTAGGAGTAAAAATCTCAATTGTAGCTGAAACGGTACATTGTTTTGCATTCACAAGCCCTGACATAAATCAAAAGATATGTGCTTAGCATTTCTTTTATCCACCTGAAGTGAACTCTAGTCTTGAGATGTGGATACATTAGCAAGTCGAGGATAATAAACACTGCTCACAAAAGACCCTTAATAATTACGCCTCAACCGTGGTAATTACGACATATATCACAGCTTTGATAAACTGACTGTTATGAGGGTGCACTTTTACGTACGGTTTATTATCCTCAGTACGTCTATGCACCCCCTTCTGATGAACAGCGTTTACTTGTGAATGCAAAATAATGTATCGTTTGAGTTACACTTGAAATTTTTACTCCTAGGAGTATCTTATGTTAACCGAGCTTTGGGACATCAAAATTTGTAGAAAATGATTTTTTTCAATATCCGTTGATTTCAGAATATTCTGATACTTTTTGCTCTGACTCGCCTACGGGAGTGTGACTTGAGATTGTGTGTCAAGGCTAAATAACGAAGGGTTGTGGCTAAAGCATTTCGGGTTTGGACTAAAGGATTACGGGTCGAGGCTGAAGGATTGCGGGTTTTGGCTAAAGATTAATGGGAAAACGTGTAGTTCGATAATCGTTGGTGAGCCCAGACGGATAGATACTTGGATGCATTCTTCGTTGTCGTTGTCGTCCCTAGAGGTCTCCGGTGGTAAGCCCCAAAACAGCAATTCGGAGTCACCAGATGACTAGCACAAATTAGACTCGCCAAAACCACTCAACAGGGATGATGATCTTGCATTTGGTTAGATAATATACATCAAGTTATTTAAACTTGATGAATCAGGGGTTTATATTACCTAATCGACGGCAACACATGCCGGTAATTTGCCTTAATGTTACCGGTCCTTTCTACACGACAGAAGTCAAGTAATCTTGGGGTTTCAAAACGTACTGTGTTTAGCCAGTTTATGAAGCACCAAGAACCAGCTCGTTTTTGATAACTATTCTCGTTTCATTTGCATGGACTAAAATAACACAGAGACAAAACCACACTCGGTTGGTGATGGTTACACTGCAGTCACACGTCGGTTTTCGGCTTATTTCTCTCTTTCTCTCTCTCTGTCTCTCTGTCTGTTTGATGAATTGTGCAGGAATGCACTGCAAGCCTCACCGTATTTCTGAGCTAACAAAATGCTAACCAGAAAGACATTCCCTCTGACCGCTTGAGAAAGAACTATTCTGCTTTGGATTCCGCAAATTGTCTCGATCATCTGTGTGGCAAAACCGCAACTTATCATCTGTCACCTACCTCAGCTGTTTGTTCTCGGGTGCCTGTGTGTGTGTGCTCTCGCTCGCTCGCACGCGCGCACGCACGCACACCGGCCCACATACATATACTGGCACACACACACACACGAGGTGGATGAAACTGCACAACCCGCTCTGTTCCCTTGCATACAATGAGATTCTGTGCCTCAGCGGGTGAAAGAGCTGATCCTGTGGAGATCACCGAGTGTATCGTCCCTCCCCCACCTCGACTTGCGATAAAAACACGATCGAACTATACTATATTATACTATATGCTATACTGTATAGAAGAAAACGAATTCCTGGTAGTCGATTACGGTATGTACCGTTCCAGCTGTTCGATACGACAGCGCGAAACCAAGGAGGAGGGGCTGGGATGGGTGGGGGGGCGAGTGAGTGAGTGAGCGGCACATATGCGAATTACACAGGTTAATGGATTAATTTATGACTGGCGTCAGTTTAGAGGATACCGTAAGAACATCGTTTTGTATGCATTCATTCCGGTGACAAAATATGAAATGATGTTTTCATTTCAAACGAACAAAGAAAAGTGAAAATTGTCTGAATCCTTGAGTCCATTTTTTTATTCATTCTATCAATATCAAATGAAGACTAATGTTTTGAGGTGTTAAAATTTCGTTGCATCTCCTCTTTCGATGACACAACTTGACAACTGTGTCTAATCGGAAAATGAAGCTACAATTGCCTTCCCCCCTCTGAGAAGAAAACTAAGTGAAAATACGTGTTCGTGGTGGTAGAATGGTTTAAACCTCGAACCCCAGAATAGGACGCACGCTGGTGACAGTGACAGATTAGCCGCGTGGCCATCGTTATCTAATAATTGTTGTTAGGTCACATATTGATTGAGAGCGAACCGACAACCCGGATCAGACCGAGTGCGCACCGCAATCGTTGAACAGTCTAAGCTGAGTGGACACCGGTTGACAATTGCTTTACAAACAAACAAAATCTATTTTTTTTAAACTGTCCCGAAAACCGAAAACGATCGAACAGCTCAAACAGAGCATCGTCGCGTAGTATGAAAGCATTCCAACGGCTATTATTCTGAGGGTGGAAGAAAACTATATTCACCGTATTTGGTCATGGAAGCAGCCGGATGGAAAACATATTAAACATTTTTTGTGAAATAAATATGCATTTTTCCAAACTGTTTGTTCTCTTCTCCGCAATTCTATTTCCAATGTAGTTAGCAAGATCGTTCAACGCGAAAAATGCCAGCTGGTAAAATTTCAAGAAGAGTTTTGTGTTGGCCTGTATCAGTGAATATTGTAGTCCGTGCTTAAGACATGTTCAAAGTTTTATGAGGATTATCCGTTTACTGAACCCGTTTCGAAAAATAGTGCGTGTATCTTAGACGAGTCAAACTTTCGCCCAGAGTCATCACCGCTGGAACGTTTTTTTTTGTGTGTGTATTGTGTATTGTTTGGTGTTCAGTAATGCAGTAATTGCATTCAGAATGTCACCTCGATTGGTGATGAAACGTTTGCAGTACAATTGCCAAGCTCGGCGAACAAATGAACACCAAGTTACACTACCCGAGCTACAAAATCAACAATCAACACCGTTGTTTACAAAACTGTCATTGTGTATTGTGTATAACTTTTGCAAGCACTGGAGCTCACATTTCAGTTAACCGTCACAATGTACATAGTCAACGGGGAGGAAAGTTTTTACAGCCATGGGGACATTTCATAATCTAAGGTTAAGAGAAAGTTCACTTATTGTCCGCTCTTTGTTTATGAGTAGACGAGCAAGATACGGTATCGGTGAATTGCGGTATGCATTAATTCGAGATGAAATTTGGTGGAATTGGGAGCGTGTTGAAAGATGGGAACGACATCGTGTCAGTTCTGCATGCAATAGGTGGTCAGGATCTGTGAGAATCCTCGCGGCAAATTTCACACAGGAAGTTCCGTGATACTCTGAAAGCTTTATAGCTAATTCATTCACAGGAATGGAAGAGACGCGACTAATAATGGTTAGACCGCGACGTAAGACTGGAATTCTGTTTGGGTAAACCAGGAAAAATAACCGGAGAACAGTAGAGTAAGATGGGGAAAACAAAGTGATAAACAAAAGTAGAAATAACTGGCTGGGATGCGCGAAACTGCCTGAGTTTTCGTATTTGAAATGAAAGGCGTCGCAGTTTACCAATGCGGTTGTGGATGTGGGTTGACCAATGAAGATTGTTACCTATGGTTACACCAAGATATTTGACAGAGTTCACCCTGGATAAAGGATTGTTATTATTCACCGTGGGGTTTGTCGGATATGGAGAGTGAGCAAAACAATATAAACACAACACATTTCTTCCGAATTTCCCCTCATGGCGTATCGTTCCATAACTGATTCCCTTGTGGTGAATCTCTACCAACAACACTCAAGCAGCATCGGACTCAAAACTTATCCCACACCCATGCAGGCCCAAAAATCACACGACCGATCAGGTTCATTTATCGATCGGTCGGATGATGCAGCCGCAACAAGGGACCTACCTGGTGCTTGCCTAGCTAACCCGAGCGAGGAACCGTGCCTTGTTTACAGCTCTGAGCCCTTAGCAGGCCCAGTGAACTTCGACTGTATAGCAAGCGTGTCATCACCACACGGATGGACTGATTGTGACAAAAGGGCATCGCAAAAAGTACAAGACAATGTGAAACGATGAGGCAGTCGCACTATTCTACTATCCACATAGCAACATGACATCTTAAATTGATATTCGGATATCTTAAACTGAAAAAGGTTTAGAGTGTGGGTTGAAGACAGTATCACAAAAACACTTCAGAGATTGTATATACCATCCTATTCCAATTCACCTGTGCCAAAACCGAATCGACTAGGATATGCTGGGCTTCCGAACCTGAAACGCTAACTTCGCAAGCATTATATTGGTTCCACCGATTTCTCTATGTAGTTGTTGCCTGCGGTTTGCGGAAGGGATCTCTCTTAGAGGTAAAGGAAAAAGTAGCCTTACGGTAACCGAGTGCACATAAGTCCTATACAATCGATTGGGAGTGACACTGGGACACGGGGACGGGTATCGGATATCGTGGGGAAAAAAATAAAATTGTAACAACAGCTCATCAAAGAATGTCTGACTGAGAGAGAGAGAGAGCAGTGAGTGGCAGCATATGCGATCGGAATACTCTTAGTTTTCTTTTAATCCTATTCATTGTTCTGTGAGAAGGAAAATAGTACGTGATCAAATGTAATCTGATGATGAGCACTCTTCTAATGGTTCTTATCCACAGAATCCTATACAACTCTGGACAGTGTGACCACTCCATTCTCGGAAGATCGCCAATCGCTGCTCGATGAACAGTTTGCTCTGGATGGTAAGACAATGCATCGTTGTGTGTGTGTGTGTGTGTGAGGTATAGTCCCCGGGTATTTATGCAACACTTTGTTCAAAGTTATTGAGACAGATCAAGGAGAGAGAGAGAGAGCCGAGCGACCTCTGTTGCACAGACTAAGAGATCAAATGCAGCCAGACAGCCAACACACTAAGGTAAAATCTGTTCTGCTATGAACGAAACAACTGAGGTGACGATAGCTCAAACAAGAACAATATGCAGCCTAAGTGAGTCAGGTGATTATTCGGCTGAACTTCACCCATTAGCACAAACGACATTCCGGAACACTAGCCCGAACATTATCCTAGTTTTCAGTTCTGCTATGTTCTTGATTAGATGTACGATCGATACAAGCGCCCCTGCCTAGCCCCCATCAGTGATACGAGAGAGCGAGAGAGAGAGAGAGAGCACGACTGGAGAACAACGGTCAGAGTGTATTGTACTGATCATGATGCGATAAATATAAGTGAGTCGATTGGACGTACGGGAACGACGTGGTGACACACCAGTCAGATCGCGTCCTTGACACTCCGCCGATTGGTCGATCGGATAACAGCTGTCTGATTCATCCTAATTGTCATCCAATCCAGAATCGGCTCGCCTTTGGCTTCGTGAGGGGTGACGCGGATCCCGTGTGCGGCTTGACGGGTTCTGTGAGCTCCGTCCTATGGAACTCAAAGTGACTATGAGATAAACCACATACCACACATCCACTTGATCACCGCGCAACTGATCAGACCATTTTCCCTTTGTCGCTAGGAGACGTAGCGCAAGCCACCTATGTGAGCTTGGTTCCTGGATTATACACCTTGCTCATCCCAGCACTAGCCTCCGGGGTTATGAGTCGATTGAAAGTATGCCCACGTTCTACATGTGAGGTTTCAGGTTCGATATGCAGTTAGCAAGGTGTCCAGGTCATCGAATTATTCGCTCTTTGAAAGGAGTTATACGTCAAAGGTGTCCCATTGACATTGATACCCATCCAAGCCGGTGTCAACTACCACAACTGTGAAGACGTGGATGCGGTTCTTTTTGGTTTGTTTGAAAGTAAGCTACTTTTAGCCAACTCAATTAGGCGAACTGTCAGTAGTTCACCACTCCGGTTATGCCCCCGGGTATTTAATGAAAACAGCAATAATAATAATATTGCACTTTCTTCTTATTCGTGGAATACATGTACCATGGTTCCTACAGAACAGGGGCTGCAAGCGATCAAAAACTGCCTGGGGAGATGTAGAGACATAAGTGGTGAGAATTTAGCTCATGAACCCCGGGTAGGTATAATGATGGTCTTAAACAATGTTTGTGAAACAGCGCTACCAATTAAAGGTAGTTAGTGGTTCCTTTCTTCGGAAAATGTTATTTGAGACGCCTGGTCGTACGAGATACAAATTAAACGTGGTTGATCATAACCGAATACATCCATCTCGGACCATAGTGAGTCTTTTCAAAGTTTTTAATCCCCCGTACATATTTATATTTATTTGAAACAGCCTTGTGATTCCGTCTGAGGGAGCAAACACATTTGGTGATTGGGTTGGTTATGGGTAATTTATCACTGTGCATTCATATTGGGTTACGTAATTCATTATTGACCAATTTGACTACCGTGCATGATCGGGAAGTACCCCTCGTTTGACCATAAAGTTGGGAGTAACCGGATCATTTCGTGTTGAGTATATGGGCTGTTCGTAATGATCAGAAAATTTTATTTTTCCATTTATGATGCCAATTGCAAGCAATAATGCAAAAATTGGTGTTTATTTTGCAAATTTCAGATGCAAGAAGACAGTCGGAAACTTCCATTCCGCCCGTAGTCCACCCTCGCCCACCGCTCCCAGTGGCTCCGGAAACTGTACCGACCTCCGTACCGCGACAATCTCCACCACCGGAGAATGTTGTGTCCAAGACTGTCACCGTTCGGTCGGGTGAACAGATCCAGTTCAACGCGTCGTTCACAATCTCAGGTCCGGTAGCGTATGAAGTTGAGTGGCTCATGAACGGAGCACCCATTCCACGGCATCTGGACGCTGATATGATTTTGTCCGACTCCGATACTCGATTGCTGATAGCTCACGCAGAACCATCCATCCATACAGGCACTTTTGCTTGTCGCTGTCGTCTGTTTGAAGGTACGGAAACCGCGGTGTATTTTTACGTGAACGTCCTGCCAAAAGAAACGACAGACGAGTTCGAGGAAGAGGAGGATAGCGAAGACCGTAAATCAAAAGAAGGCAAACTGGAACTCAGTCACGTTGCGGACAGTTCCGCAATGCTACAAGAAGCGCCCATAGCTTTGATAGTGGACCATTCCGAGGCTGCTCCTCCAGTGGTCCAGGAGCAAGATTTACCGGAACTAGGAGCAGAAAAGAGTAAAGCTTCTTTCCTCAGTGCATCACCTCTCACTGCAGACGTTGCGATCGGTCAGGTGTTAGAATTGCGTGTCAAAGTTGATCGTCAGAAAGCCAAGGATATCGTTCTATCAGCTCAAACTTCCGATAAGCAAATCGACTGGGAACATGCGTTGCCCGAATGGCGTCGTGACAATCAGCCACTGAAAGCTAGTGCCAAGTGTCGGATGTTTGAGGAAGGTGACACGGCAGTTTTACAGATGGTCACCTCTGAGTGTGCACCGAATACGCAATCCACGTACAGTTTTGCACTTCATCTGTCCGATCAACAAGAACCCTACCAAATTCAAATCCCGGTCCACATACATCCACCGACTGAGGATGAGCTAAATGCCGGTTTCATCCCCGTGGACAATTTGTTGTCGATGCCGAAATCCGGGATGCGCAAAGCGGTGAGCATAAGCGAAATGTTGGACATCCAGTTAATTCAAGGTCAAAAGTTTCGTCTGATTGCGCAACTGGAGAACAAACCACTCAGTGATGAACCATCGATTTGGTGGACATTGAACGGCACTCCGATCGCCAGTCGCGGACGCGTAGATGGGGACCGGTTAGATCAGAGTGAATTCCGTTGTTTTTTGAATCGATCTAATCTCACCGTGAAGCTGACCAAACCAGCAGTGAATCAAGCCGATGCGGGATTGTACACATGTTGGTTGGACGATTCCCACGGGGGTACGGGTCCGGCGAAAAAAGTTATCGAATACTCAGTTACTGTGCTGGTCGCGGATGAGGACGGTTATTTCGATACGGATGATATTTTTGTCGAATCAGATGATGAAAATGTGATCGTGATGAAAAAGCCCGGATCAAATGAAATTGATCAGGAATCGGCACAGACGAAGGAGATGCTGACGGCAAAAGAGGAATCAGACAAAACCGAGGAGGAAACGTTTGAACTCGTTGACGATCAGCTGGAGTTTGGCAAAGCAGATAGACTAAATACCGAAAAGGGATTGACCGTGGAGGAGAGCGAGACTCATCAGACGGAGGCCGAAATTTCGGTCCCCGTTGAACAGCAGTTACCATACGAAGAAAAGGAAATTACAAAAGAGGCAGACAAAGATAAGGGAGGAAAACCAGAAGTTGAACAAGGTAAACCAGTGCACGAGAAAGAGAAGGAATGGATGCCCGACGACGAGGACACCGAATCGCATGAAACGAATGCAATGGCGATAAATGATCAGGGAGATAAAGAAGAAGATGGAGCTGTACGTGTAGCATCGGAAACAACGATGATGAAGGAGAACTATAAACAGGAAAAGGAAGAGACAATAACAGATGAAGAACAAAACAGAAAGAAGATAGAAGAAAAGAAGGAGAGGAAACGACTGGAAGAGGAAAAGAGGAAGAAGGAAGAAGAAGAGAAGGAAAAGAAACGATTAGAAGAAGAAAGGAGGAAGAAGGACGAGGAAGAGAAGGAAAAGAAACGATTGGAAGAAGAAAAGAAGAAGGAGGAAGCTGAGAAAGAGAAGCAAAGGTTGGAAGAGGAAAAGAGGAAGAAGGACGAGGAAGAGA